GTGTGGGGGGTGGCCCCACCATGGGAGGGGGTCACCCTGGTAGTCCCTCCAGGAGCTCCTGGTCACCAGCAGTGTCACTGTGGGGCTGAGAGGTGATTCCCAGGGCGTCACGGAGGGGAGTCTGGTCCCTGGGTGGGGGGGTCAGTCCCTGGGGTGTCACAGACGGGACCCACAAAAGCCAGGCACGGTGGTCTGGGTGCCTCCAGCCAGCGCGGCGCAGGATGGGACGCAGCAGAGACGGCCCCGATCTGGCCACAAACAGATTAAATGTCATTTTATTTCACACCCAAAAAAAAAATGTAGAAAAGAAGAGGTGAGTGGAGATTTAATTGCTCATATTAAAAATCTACCAAGTGAGACTGAGCCGTTTCCACCAGAGTCAGTGCAGATCTGCAGGGATGCTTATTCCTCCTCCTCTGCAGCCAGATGCTCGAGGATGAGGATGGGGACAGGGTCGACGCCTGCCCCTTTCCCCCCGCTCCAAGGTGCCCCTGTGCCATGGGTGCTCGCTGCCACCAGCCCCATCGGCGCATCCCTGCCCGCGTCCATCCTGCCCGGCACCCCCAGCACGATGTCCCCATGGTGCCACCCCCACCTTGTGTCCAGTAATCGGGTGCTGATTTGGGGGATGGGAAGGGGGAGCAGGACCGTGTTTGGGGGTGGCCTTGGGCCTTTTCGATTTTCTTTTTGTATTTCTGCGTATTTCTTATTGTCCCTTTTCCCTCTGTACAAAATGAGCGATATGGTCATGGGCGTAGGTGACACGGTGACGTGTGTGAGGTCGGGGTGGCTCTGGCGGCCGCCCTGCGCTCACTGCAGCAGGGCCCGGATCTGTTTGGACGTGGTGTCATCATTGAGGTGCCGAGTGGTGTACCTGGACAGAGAGGGGACGGTCACCCCGCAGCACCCCAACCCGCTCCGCCGCCACCATCCCACAGCACCGGTGGGGGATGCCAGGTGCCCCCCGTGTCCCCCAGCCTCCTGGCTCACCTCAGTGCATTCAGGAGCCCTTCGGTGCTGGTTGAGGGCTGGTCTTTCAAGACTTTGATGCAGCCTTTCATCTGGTGGGGGGGAGCGAGAGAGGCAATGAGCACCCAGATGTGCCATGGGGGGCTGCTCCCCTTCCTCCCCATCCTCCTCCTTGGTGCCTGAGGGGATGAGTTCCCCTCTGGACCAGCTCAGACAGAGATGTCCCCACAGGGGACATCCAGGGAGAGGGACCCCCAGGCATCACAGCTGCACTGGGATGAGCAGGATGGCTGTGACCCCCCATGGCCACTCACATCGATCTTGGAGGTCTTGGCAAAGGCCCCCACGGGGTGGACGTGGTCATAGAGGATGATGACGCCAACCATCACCCGCATGCAGAAGAGGAGGGTCTCAGTGTTGGTGAAGCGACTCCGGTACTCCCTGTGCCAGGAGAGGGGTTGGCTGAGCCCAGGTGGGCGGCAGAGGGACCTGAGCACCGAGATGTGTCCCCCCCATGCGGGGTACTCACGGGGTCTCCAGCATCACCCTGCAGACACAGGCCATGGTGCTCAGGCAGTCGGTTGTGTCCTCGATCGGGAGAGTCTTGTTCTGAAACCCAACAGGTCCTGGCTGCTGTTTTCCCCTCCTGATCCCCACATGGTGCCAGAGCCGGAGGGGGGCTCCCCCCTGCCCTGAGGGTCCCCCCCAGCCTTGCTCACCTCTGAAACAAACTTGGTGGTGGCATTGCTGAGCGTTTTGAGCATGGGCGTGGCCTCGGCATAGAAGAGGGACATCCTGTTGGCCATCTCGTTGTTCACCTCGCTCTCCGCGTCCAGCTGCAGGGTGGGATGATGGGGGTGGTTGGGGTGGCCGACCCCCCTCCCAAGCCCTGCCCAGTCCTGTGACCCCCCCCAGGAGAGGCCATCCCGGCGCTGGGGGGGATGGCATTGTCCTCTGACCTGCAGGTTGTTAATGCGATTTCGGCTGATGGTCCTTCTGTAGTAGCTGAAGTCATTCTGGATGGCGGGGTTGGTCATCTGCGGAGGGGAGTCCCGTGTTAGGGGCTGAGATGGGGGCCATGGCCAGCTTGGTGTGCTCAGGACGAGCTTTGGGGGTCCCAAGGGACTGTGCTGGCTCACAGCTTTTGCACGGTCCCAGTGTGGGGATCCTGTGGGCCCCCCCAGCCCTCATCCTAGCCGGTGGGGCATGGGGAGGTACCTTGAGCTCATCGAAGCTGAGGGTGAAGTGGAGGATCTCGGCAAACTGCTTGGCCAAGGCTTGCTCCCGCTCGAGGTGCTGGGTTGGGGCGTACGGGGGGCTGGTGAGGGCCTCCAGCAGGCTCCGCAGGGCGTTCTCTGGGGACGAAGCACTGCTGGTCTCCATCCCCGGCTGGGGAAACTGAGGCACGGGGCAGCACGGCATCTGCGCCATGGCCAG